CCCAGCATTCATTCCTGCCTGCGGCAGGGGGTCAGGCTAGATGATCTGTTCAGGTCCCTCCTGACCCTGGCTGCTATGAAACTATGAAACTATGGGGAGACTTGCCTAATGCAAGGCAGGAGACCCCAGCTAGTGGATTTTTTAATCTTTTATCTTTCGTCACTTCCACAGCATGTGTGGGATCAAAATCAAGCGGCATATTTATCCCGCACAGGTGGATGCCGCTGTCTGCTCTGGTCCGATTCTCCATGGTCGCCATGATGGTGTGCTGGGTGTGGTTGTCCTGGATGGAGAGTCGGTCTTGGCGCATTGTGGCCTCTGACCCTGTGGTCTGTAGGATGCACTCATTGAAGCATGATAATATCCTGTCTCTGCACCAGAATTTCGGATACTCTTCATAGCCTTTCCCATAGTGGCATGTCACAGACACCGACCTATGCTCAAGGCCTATCACCATCTCATGGCCCGTCACTGTGTTACGATCTATCAGTGTCATAATGTCTATCGCTGTGGAGGCACAGACATTTCCATGCCCCAGCAGTGAGGACTAGTGCAGGGATTGCTTTGGCCTCTGATGTGTTTGGCTGCAGGGACAGAGCTGAGAAATGCTGAGATATTTGTCATCCTTATCCAGTCCCTATGGGGGCAGCAAATAGATAAGAAGAAGAACCCCCCACACCTGTAATCAGGGGCAAATACCCCTGAATAGTCTCTTCCTCAGAATGTGCACCATCAAACTGAGCTTCTTGCTCCCCTCCCTTTGCTTACTGGCCTGATGCCACCATTGCTGGCTCAAAGTAGGAGACACCAGGCAATGAGTATTCTTTCATTTTCTAATTATGACGAGGATTTGTGGCTCATTAGTCTCTGTCATACCTGGGCATCACAGACCTCAATGTGCCTTCAGGGCCCATTGCTGTCCTGGGGCCCATCACCAGATCCTGTCAACACCCAGCCTGTGCAGGAGACAGGGAATCCCTGAGCCTTTCTCCCTGCAATGATGCTCCATCCCCGTGGGCAGGGCATATGAGGATTTTTAGGGCAGGGGATGCTGAAGCGTGTGCCCTGCTTGGGTATATGTGGTGGGGGCAGTGCTGGGACTCAATCTTTCCAACTAAAAAGTTTTCCTTGTGAGAACATTTTCTGGAGGAAAACTTCAGTGTTAAATACGGTTGTATCGTTTTGGAGCCGGAAAAGTGGGCTTGAAATGGAGCCGAGCAATGCACAGTCTGGATTGGACAACTAGAAACAAAATTTTAAATGTTAAATTTTTGAGGTTAAAATGACCTCTCACTTGTATTTCCATTTCATCTGGGTGATTTACGGGTTTCCCCTTCAAAATATCTTTTTGTTTCTTTTTTCTTCTTTCTGATAACTGGCTGGGGAAGCTGCCATCCAAACACAGTTTCAGCTTCTCTCTGCAAGAATGAAAGCTAAAAATCTTACTCTTTTCTTTGTTGGACTCAGCTAAGAGTCTGCCTTATCATATAACTTCAGGAGTGAAGTCACTAAGAAAACCAGCAAATATCCTGAGACTTGTGCTAAAATCCTGAGCTCACACCACTGAACCGTCTCCATGGGAAGATTCCTCAGCACAGAGGACACTGTTGGTTTAGACTTCACACCGAGATCCTTATTGCCCTGCGTAGTTTGGAAGCTCCAGCTGCCGAGTGACCTTGTGGATCCAGCTCTGAGTACAACACACAGCAGCGGGGGCGTCCAAGCTGCAGGGAGGATGCCAGAAGTACTTGCAGCCTGCCCCAGCCCAGTCACTTCAAGGCATTTCCAGGTATTCCCAAACAGCCCATGTCACACTCACCTGGGAAGAGAACCCAGAGCCAAAGGAGCACCTGCATGGTCCTGGTCCCTCTGTTGACAAATCTGGTCTCTCTGCAACAGCCCTGGCACCCACTTTCTACTAGAAGAAGTGAAAATGGAGCCATGAGAGTCACCAATCACTGCCTTAGTTGCGGTTCCTATGTCCCAGCTATTGTCCTTCTGTGTGAGATGTTTGGGTGCCACTACAGCAAAAACTGCTGCAATATCTGTTATTTTGGCAATGCTCGCTATTGGGAGCTTTTCTTGAAAGCTAGGCAGTGACCCAGCCTGGAAGGGAGTTGATCCCACAGACCAGTGCCACGTAGTATCATATAAAACTAGGGTTGGAAGGGACCTGAGAAGGTTATCTAGTCCCTCCCCTTCCCCCCACCCGCTGGTGACCAAAGCATGGCCATCCCCAACTAGATCATCCTGGCTTTGTCGAGCCGGGTCTTAAAAACCTCCAGGGATGGAGATTGCACCACCTCTCTGGGTAACCTGTTGCAGTTCTTCACCGACCTCCTAGCCAGAGAGTTTTTCCTAATATCCAATTTACATTTCCCTTGCTGCTATTTGAGACCGTCGTCCCTTGTTCTGTCATTTGCCACCGCTGAGAACAGTCCAGTTCCATCCTCTTTGGAACCAGCCTTCAGGTAGTTGAAGGCTCCTATTAAATCCCCTCTGTCTTCCCTTCTGCAGGCTAAATAAGCCCAGTTCCTTCAGCCCCTCTTCATCAGTCATGTGCTCCAGTCCCCTAATCATTTTTGTTGCCCTCTGTTGGACTCAAAAATTTCTCCACATCCTTTCTGTAGTGGCGACCCAGAACTGGACACAGTACTCCAGATGTGGCGTCACCAGTGCTGAATAGAGGGGAAGAATCACTTCCCTAGACCTGCTGGCAATGCTCCTACCAATGCAGGCCAGTATGCTGTCAGGCAACACTGTTGGCTCATATTCAGCCTTTTGTCTACTGTAGTCCCCAGGTCCTTTTCTGCAGAGCTGTTGCTTAGCCAGTCAGCCCCCAGCCTGTACCAGCACATCACAGATGCCACAGCCAATTATTAAATGTCTTGCTTGTGACAAAAGGCTACATCTCCACTGACGCCTTGATATTACCATGCTCTTGGAACTGGATAGGTGCATACTCTATATTACTAACCCCCAATGACCAACCCCCAGCCCCAGCCCCAGCCAGGCCCCTTATAGCATGTGCTTAGCTTAAAGATCATCTGAGACCCAGGTTCTAGTCCCTGTGCGATGTGACTCACCGCAAGGACTCAAATCTCAGCATCCCACAACCCAGGAGAGTGCCCTGGCCACCAAGTCACTGGGTAGGCTTTGGATGGGAGGGAAGGGTTCTTCACTGTCTCACAGGAACACTTACTTTCTAAAAAACATTCAACATGTGTTGGAGTAGGCACTTAACCCCACGTCCCCCAGGGCTGCTGTTGGAGTTCCCAGGACTTGAAGGCTCCTAGCTCTGTGTTAGGGAGTGACAACATCAGTGACCCCAGCCCCAGATGGTGTGCAAGGCAGGGCCACCCCAGAGCTTTGGATCCTGGAAGGCCAGACCCTTGAGCAGCCTGGAAAAACCCAAACCAATTCCTTGCATAACAGCATCCAGCAGAACATGGCACCAACTCGCTGTGATCTGAAGCCTGAGCTCGGAAGAAGGTTATTCTTCAAATAGGAGTAAAGCATGGAAGCAAGGATTAGCTGTGACCATGTCCTCTGTCATATATTTCAGATACCTTGACTTGGGTAGGCAGTGGATAATGGATAAGCCTAGAGGGGCTGAGCAACATGGGGTTCATAGGTTCATAGATGTAGGGTTGGAAGGGACTTGAGCAGATCATCAAGTCCGACCCCCTGCCATGGGCAGGAATGAATACTGGGCTCATATGACCCCTGGTAAATTTAAGCTCATATGACCCCACCTAGGTAATTATCAAGCCTCCTTTTAAAGACCCCTAAGGTAGGAGCCAGCATCACTTCCCTTGGAAGCTGGTTCCAGATCCTAGGCGCCCTGACTGTGAAGTAGTGCTTCCTGATGTCTAGCCTGTTCCTACTCTCAATCAACTCGTGGCCATTATTCCTTGTTACTCCAGGAGGTGCTCAGGGGAACCCATTCCCCTGTGGTCCCAGGTAAGTTTATGGTAGATCCCCTCTCAGCCTTCTCTTGTGAAGGCTGAACAGTTTCAGGCCCCGTAGCCTCTCTTGTAGGGTCTGCCCTGCTGTCCCCTGACCATGCGGGTGGCCCTCCTCTGGACCCTCTCAATGCTGTCCACATCCCTCCTGAAGTGCGGTGCCCAGAACTGGACACAGTACTCCAACTGCAGCCTGACCAGTGTCACATAGAGGGGGAGGATCATCTCCTTGGACCTTCTCCTGATGCATCTGTGGATACATGACAAGGTGCAGTTGGCCTTCCTGACCGCGTCCTCACACTGTCAGTCCATGTTCATTTTAGAATCGGTGACTCCAAGATCTTTTTCTGCCACCATGCTTTTGAGAAGGGAATTCCCAGCCTGTAGGTCTGCTGCTGGTTCTTTCTGCACAAGTGCAGTACCCTACACTTGTCAGTATTGAATCCCAGCCTATTCTCATTCACCCACCCCTGTAACCTGTCCAGGTCCAGTTGTATCCTGTCCCTCCCTTCTAGCATGCTCACTTCACCCCAAATCTTGGTGTAGTCAGTGAATTTGAACAAGGTGCTTTTCACCCCCTCATCCAAGTTGCTGATAAAGAAACTGAACAGTGCGGGCCCGAGGACCGAGCCCTGGGGGACTCCACTGTCCACATCTCTCCAGGTCGAATATGACCCGTCCACCACCACTCTCTGGGTGCTGCAGCCTAGCCAATTTGCAACCCATCTGACTGTGTAGGCATCAGTGCCACAGTCACTTAGGTTTTTAATGAGAATGGGGTAGGAGACAGTGTCGAAGGCCTTCCTGAAGTCCAGAAGGACTACATCCACCACGACATCTGCATCCAAGGATATTGTGACCTGATTGTAGAAGGCAATCAGGTTGTTTTGACAGGACCTGCACCTAATGAACCCATGCTGGTTGCCCTTGAGCATCATCTCCCCTGCTGGTCCCTCACAGATGTGATCCTGGATAATTTTCTCAAAGAGCTTCCCTAGGACCGAGGTAAGACTAACGGGCCTATAGTTGCCTGGGTCCTCCCTCCCCCCTTTTTTGAAAATGGGGACCACATTGGCCTTCTTCCAGCCTTCTGGCACCTGGCCAGAGCACCATGAGTGCTCGTAAAGCTATGCCAGGGGCCTCGCAGTGACCCCTGCCAATTCCCTCAGCACCCTGGGGTAGAGATCATCTGGACCTGCTGATTTGAACATGTCCAGTCCCTCCAGAAGTTCCTTAACTCAGTCCTCCCTGACCCTGGGTCTGGAGGAGTCACTCCCAAATCCATCCTGAATCCTGATGGTGGAGATGTCCCGGTCCCTGCTCAGAAAAATGGAGGCAAAGAATTTGTTAAAAAGGT